TAAGTTGCGCCATAAATTAGTCGCTGTTAAGGACAAGCGGGCTAACCCAAGTTTCGGAGATTTCCAGAAATCTTGACCTACACCAAAAGTGGCCATTGCCCCACCTATAGGAGAAATTTGGTTTCCTTGGTGTGTATATTTGTTTGGTTATAGAGAAAACTCTTCTTGTCTTTTAAAGAAACTGAACAAGGGTTCAGAAACTTTACCTTCGATTTTCTCGAAACAGCTTTTTTTCGGCATAGCCCGCTTATCCTTAAAAGCGATCAGTTTTTGACGGCACTATCTATAGACGTAACCTCGGCACTCCAGTAGCGTCTGTGATGTAGAGCAGTGGTTCGGCGTCCTTCATGCACCAGGTGGTGCGGTCCAGAGTGTACGTCTCTCCGTCCGCTGATATCGCCCCCACCTCATTGTGGTACTCAGGTTCGAACAGGGACGCCTCGGGGAGTAGTATATCTACCACCTCGTCACCAGCCACGTTATCCTTCATCTCTTCTGCCTCTCTCATTATTCTGAAATAAATTTGCATTTCTTTCTTCTTATGTTTATGCCGCGGATTTTCTATTTTAGAGGGGGGAGGGGTGGGTTTGTTTCTGTTTTTGTTTGTTTGTTTCTATTGTTGTCGGTTGTTGGTTGTATGCTTGGGGGTAGGGGAGGGGTTTGAATACCCATCTGGGTATAAATTCGCTATTTGAAGGCAAATCCTACCCCGCTATGTTTCTGGGGTCTATTTGAAAAAAAAATAACTCTAAACAAAATGACAGGGGTCGCTTCTGGGCGTTGGAACTTTGATTGAGTTGCAGAGACGGTGCTCCATGTGCTCGATAGAACTAGATTTTAACATTCTTTTAATTTGGACGTACTGGAACACATGCAGATCAACGAAGGGGCCTCACTACAGTAGGAAACTGTTCTATAGGCTTGATGATGACAAGGACATGTGGTTACTTGAGGGAGACATTGCGCTGCCAAGAGTGAAATGCTTGCAGCTTAAAGGATTTGAAAACAACAACAACAAAACAACAACAACAAAAACAACAACAACAACAACAACAACGTACTGAAACACATCCGGATCAACGAAGGGGCGCATTTCAGTAGGAAACTCTTCTACAGGCTTGATGATGATCACAGGGTCATAGGTTGGGTAGCTTTCCTGGAAGAGACCAGTGAGGAAACGAGTTGTTTTTATGTAATACACTCGGCACAACTTTACGAATCACATAATTTATAGATAAAAGTAAATCTGAGACACTACCCCCCATCCCCCAACTATTTATCCATTCGGAACTTGCTGTTTTTCATAAATAATTCGTGGGTGGTTGGCGGGTGCTCTGGTGTGGTTTGCTTCTTCTTTCCTATCAAACATTTATTGTCTTTATCTAACCTCCTTCTTTTTTTGTGTTTGTTACTCTCTTATAACACCTCTAATCTTCGGCACTTATATGACCGTATTGCGTTGCAAGTGCCGTAAAACGCGTACTGAAACTAAAATAAATAATTCATTATCAAACGGAAAAACAATAAACCTTGGGATTTGTCAGGCGACGTCATTAGTTATTGCATTCAAATATATGCGACTGTTGAGACTCACACAAAAGCATGCACGCACACACACGCACACGCACACGCGCACACACACACACACACACACACACACACACACACACACACACGC